GAATGACCCGCTGTCTCTTGTCTCTATTTTTTAATCCGCAGCCCTTCGCTCAGACATGGTAAACGGGTATGGGTAATGCGGGTGTTACAGCTACATTGCCACAATACAGAACTATCTTCAGTTTAGTGGGATTTTTATGGTCTAGACTTCATTGTGGCTATACTTATTTGAGGATGTAATTATTCTTGTCCTGGAGACATTTTCTCCAATAGCTGCAAAGAAGCACAGAACCAGCCACCACCAAAGTGAAAAAGATGAGTTGGGACAACTTTATGCGCCAGAAACCTCATTGCACAATTAGCACATACTGAGAGCTTTGAGCTCTCCCAAAGCCAGGAAATTCTTCCATTTAGGATCTTCTGACCAAACACTGATAAACAATCTATGTCTAAGTGAGAGAATGAATGATGATCTGAGTCCAGGAAGTATTGCTTTGGATTGCCCATCTGGAAGCCACTTTTCCACAGCTGTCATTTCTTTCCTCCACACCCCTGCAGGCCAGGTTATTCGAGGGTCTCGAGGAGGGACCACCTGGGAATCAATGGGGGGCGAGAGGGAAAGGAGACCAAGCGCGTGAAGAAAGACAGAGTCAGTCTGAGTTGCGTCAAGGTCTCGTTTATTGACTGGGTGTTAGAGCTTATAAGCAGGGCTTCAGGTAGGGAGGGGGAGTAGGAGGAGCAAGGAGAGAAAAAAGGGAATTCCTAAGGGAGGGTCAGCAGGAGGTCGCTTTGGTCCCAGGCCCCTGCAGCTAGCTGATTTAGCACAGGTTCCAAGAAGTTTATTTAATCGTACATTCCGTAGTTAAGCTAAGGGCCTCCTGTTTACACGAGGCTTGATAAATCGTGGAAGGTTACACAGGTTCAAGACACAGCTGTCCGGAGTCGGTCCCCAACACAGTAGTTGCTGGCATCTCCACTGTTGTGTCATATCCTTCCTGATCCACTTCTTGCCTTCCTCCAACTCCCTTAGTCACCTCTGTGTGGCTGCCCTCTCCTCTCAGTAGAAGGAGGGGCCCTCATACATGAAGGCACCAGGGGAGTAGGGGGATGAGACAGGGCTAAATGTCTTCTGCCGGCACAGCCAGACCTGCTGGAGGAGACGTTTTAGGTGTCTGCGGAACTTGACCCCAACAAAGACATAAAGCACTGGGTTGAAGCAGCAGTGGGAGAAGGCCAGCTTGCGGCAGATGATCATAGCCATGTCCAGCTGCTGCCTGATCTCACAGGTCTGCTGGATGATTCCAGTTTCCTGCAGTGTCCTTAGGAAGAGAATGAGGTTGTAGGGAGCCCAGCTGAGGAAGTATGCCACCACAATGGTGAAGATGAGCCTGACTGTCCGGTGCCTCTGTCTGGACCTTGAGCGAAACAAGGTCCTGAGAATCTGTATATAACAGAACAGGATGATCCCCATGGAAAGGAGGAAGAAGATGTTGTGCTGATAGACTGAGGCCAAGAACCCACGGAGTTCAAAATAATCACATTTTGGGGAAATCACCTTGTGGAAGATAGCATCAGGGATGGAAGACAGGATGCTGGCTGCCCACACGAATATGGTCACCAGCACACGGCAGCGGAGGGTATGGATACCCAGAGTAGAGAGAGGGCTCACTACAGACAGGTAGCGGTGGATGGTCATAATGGTGAGAAAGAAGATGCTGCTGTAGAGGCTGATGGAGAATATCAGATTGAGGACCTTGCAGAGGAAATCACCTAGCAACCAACCCCAATATTGTGCTGAGGCCCACACAGGCAGCAGGCAGGAGAACATAAGGTCTGAGAGACACAGGTTGAGGATGAAGATATTAGTGAGTGACTCTAGATTCTCATACTTCACCAAGACCCAGAAAACCAGGCTGTTACCCACCAGGCTGAGGAGAAATACCAGAGAGTACAGGACAATGGTGGAGAAGGTGGCAAAGATGGTCTTGTTTTCACATAGACGACTTGGTGTATCATCATAATAAAAGGTGATATTCTCAAAGGCTGTAGAAGACTCCATTTGGACCCAGGAGGCAGAGATACTGAGAGCATCTGAAATGATAGACGTGTGGGGTTTAAATCCATATGGGTTTGAATAGAAATCATTAGGACCCATGTTACAAAAAAGTAAGGTGTGGCCTTATTGGAGTTGATGTGCCACTGAGAGTAGGATTTGAGTTTTCAAAAGTGCAAGCCAGGTCCAGTCTCTCTCTCTCTCTCTCTCTCTCTCTCTCTCTCTCTCTCTCTCTCTCTCTCTCTCTGCCTGCTGTCTGTGGATCAGAATGTAAAGCTCTTACCTAGTACTATAGTATCATGCCTTTTTGCTTTCCACAATGATGATCATGGCCTAGCACTCTAAAACTATTAAGCAGGTCCCTAATTAAATGCTTTCTTTTGCAAGAGTTGCCTTCATCATAGTTTCTTTTCACAGCAATAGAACAGTAACTAAGATATAACACAATGGAGTTTTATTCACCCATAAAGAAAAATGATATTAAGTCATTTGCTGGAAAATGGTTGCAATTGGAGATCATTGTGTTAAATGAAATAAGCTGTACAAATATTGTTTATTTTTCCTGTCTTGAAGAACCAGATAGCCAGGTTTGGGGCAACTAAAAATACTGAAAAGTGGGAGTATAAATCACAGAAAAAAAAGATAGAAAGTTCCATATTTTGTCCATATATTCTGCTCAAATGGTTATCTTTTAACCGTAAGTGTGCTAGTAGTACCTGAAAGAACTGAATTGATATTTTAAGTGCTGCCCCCTGCAGGGGAGTCAGAGCTTAGTGTTAGCATTTGTTTTTCAAATATTTGAGGAAGAAACAACACTAACCTTGGACAAATATCTGAAATAGAAGATAGATCCCCTTCAACTTGTTTTATGAGGCAAATATAACTATGATACCAAAATCAGATAAAAAATTTTACAATACACAAAAACTACAGACTAATAGTCTTCATGAACACAGACACGAAAATTCTCCTTTTACTTTTTGAAAGAGACTGGTCTTAAACTCATTATATAGCCAAGGCTCTTGAACTTCTGATCCTCCTGGATCTATTTTGAGACTAGTAGGATTCAAGGCCTGTAACACCATACCAGTGTTATGCAGTGCTGGAGACGAAATCCGGAGCTTTGTCCGTGCTAGGCAAATGTTCTACCAACTGAGCTACATCTGTACCTCAACACAAAAATTCTTTCCAAAATGTAAGTTGAGTGAAGTTCAATAATACATTTAAAATATTTATTACATTTATTTATTTATTTATTTATTTATTTGTGTTTATGAGTGTATGCATCACATACTTGCCATGGTATGCATTTGGAGGTCAGAAGACAACATGTGGAAGTTGGCTTTCTTCTACCAGGTGTATCCCTGGGATAGAACTCAGGTCATGAGGCTTGGTGCAAGCATCTTTGTCTACTGGGCCATCTCTCTGGCCCCAGTAATGTTTTTGTTTTGTTTTTTTCCGGTTTTTTTTTTTTTTTTTGAGACAGGGTTTCTTTGTGTAGCTTTGAAGCCTTTCCTGGAACTCACTTTGTAGCCCAGGCTGGCCTTGAACTCACAGAGATCAGCCTGCCTCTGCCTCTTGAGTGCTGGGATTAAAGGCGCCCACCACCATCACCCAGCCCAGTAATGTATTTTAAAAGGTAATATAACATAACCAAGTATATTTGTCCTAGAAATTTGAGGTTGCATAAATATTTGAATGTTAAACAATTTAGGCCACCATATTAACAGAACAGAAACAAAACCTATCTCATCTTTGTTGTTAAATGTACAAAAGTATTTGACCAAGTTTAATGTCCATTTTCAAAACAAGCTCTCAACAAGTTAGAAACAAAAATGATATTGGGCATCTGCAAGACCACTCAGTTTTCTTGGAAAATTTGGGAGCAATCCTGTTCTGTACTAGGAAAAGTTGGGATTCCAAGGAGAAGGGTGGCAAATTCCAAGTTTTCCTGAGTAGCATCTGTGAACTGAAGTTCTCTAAAGAAGTTGCTGCATATTGGAGCCTAAAGACACTTTGTCCTTAGCTTACTAGGCTTTTGTGATTGTGGAGAGATGGAATGTTGCAAATAAAGAGCCAAAGTTATCTGAAGTCTTGTAATATCCAGTTTCTATCAGCTTCTGTATTTGGTGTAATATCCTAACTCCTACCAGCACTAAAGCTAAGAAGGCCACACACACTATCTCAGTCAGACCTGTATAGGAAATCCTTATGTCATGTGTAGCTGCCTACCTGAAGACATAGCCATATACTTAGTCAAGGCCTTAATTTATAACTTTCTTTTGTTCTGTAACTGTAAAAGTTCATGTAAAAGCTTGATGTGTTGGTGTATGCCTGTAATCCCAGCATTCAGGAGGTAAAGGCAGGAAAATTAAGAGCTTAAGACCATCCTCAGCAATGCAGCAGATTTGAGGTCAGTCTGTGCTATGTGAGACTCTGTCTCAAAAAAACAAAATATCATGTAACCTTGTCCCCAGTACACCAGGTCTCTCAAGATAACTTAACTCCATGTTCTGGGTCATGGTCACTCGTATTTGGCATAAAGTAAACTGCTATATTCTTTAAAATGAAGTTGTTATTTTATGTTAACATATTCTAGGAATTTGGCTTCCATTTTTCTATTGTCCCTCCTCCTTACCATCCCCATGATTTAACTCTAAGGGAGTAAATTTAGTTTTTGCCCCATGGGATAATATAGATTGAGAAACAGCTCTAAGTTATCCAGCCATCAAAAAATAAGAATTTACATGGCAACTTAGAGTCAAACAAACCCCTCCACTTTTTCAGCAAGGAAAACATTATATGTCTGTTCTATTCAAGGAAAGATTCATAGATTGCCTTCTCTAAAAGCACAGATTCTTTGGAAAGCCCATATGAAAGGAATCTGAGTCTCAGAGGCAAGCCTCAGAACTCTGAAAGTTTGTTAGCCTGCTAAGTGGTTCTGATGATCACCAAACTTCAGAACCCCTGGTGCAGGCTATTAAATGAAGAAAATGTAAGTTTAAAATGTATGCAAAGGAACTCACCTGAGTCTGCACCACTTTCCATGTCACTTTTTCAAGTCTGTATGCTTTGTGCTTCCTTTGTTTTCCTCTTCAAGTGCTAGAGCCTCACATATGCTAGGTGATAACCTGTGATTGATATAGCTTTCATTAAATTGTCTAGACTGGCCTTAAACTTCCTCTTCATTAAGGATGACGTTTCAGAATTAATTTTTTAATATTTCCTTATGCGTGGTTTCAGTATGAACAGCACACAGTTTCTCTAGTCTAAAATATAAAGCTCTAAAACACTGTTTAGACATGCATTGGGAGTCTTTTTGTCCAATTGTCCAGCCAATCAACTCTGTTTATGCTGCAATCCCATGCAAAATGAGACCAGATGTGGACATATTGTCATAAAGCACTGCAGCCTTCTAGGTGTGATGGTACATTCCCAGTAATCCCAGAACTTTAGAGATGGAGGTAAGAGGATCAAACTTTAGATAAAGCTACCTATATAGTAAGTTGAAGGCCAGCTTGAGCTATAATAAGACCCTGTCTGAACATCCAAACAAATGACCACAAAATAAAAGGTACTGCTGCTGCATTGAGACCTCTGGGAATAGCATCTGGGCCTGACTTTTTGGTGCATTCACAGGGGTCTCTGGTTTCCAGGTGAGTCCACATGGTATGCAGGAACTTAACAAAATTTGTCAGCTCCAGTGCTACAACTTCTTTCTGGGCCACTGGTGAAGGGAACTGGTACTATTGAGGAAGAACATTAGGCATTGCACCTGATGGTTCATTCTTTGTGAAAAAATAAATGAATATTGTAGCATGAATCTTAAAAAGTTTTTATTAATAAAATCAAACCTGAGCCAGGTATTGGGGTGAGCTGGAAGATCAGAGAACAAGCCACAGCTAACCTCACCTGGTCAACTTCTCAGCTGGTCTTGTTTCCTCAGACTGGAAGCCTCTGTGTCCTCATATCTGAATGGCTCTCAGCTCCTGAAAGCTTAACCAGCCAAATGCTTAACCAGGCCAAATGCTTCTAGTTTCTGGTCATCATGCCTTATATACATTTCTGCTTTCTACCACCACTCCCTGGGACTAAAGGCTCGCTTTCTGGGATTAAAGGCGTGTGTCACCATGCCTGGCTGTTTCCAATGTGGCCTTGAACTCACAGAGATCCAGAGGGATTTCTACCTCTGGAGTGCTAGGATTAAAGGTGTGAGTGCCACCATTT